CCTTACTCCTGCTCTCCCCTTACTCTCCTCGTGGTCCACCCTCCTCACGCTTGTGCTTGGGCTGCTTGTTGGTAGGTGGGTGTTGGCCAGGAGACAAGGGGTGAGGGCAGGCAGCGAGGGGGCAGGCAGCAAAATGGCGAGACGGCGGGCAGAGGGTGAGGCAGGGAGATGGGCAAAAGGGCAAAGTGGGTGAGGGGCAAAAGGGCAAGAGGGGCAAAAAGGCAAGGTGGGCAAAAGGGGCAAAAGGATGAGGTGGGCAAAAGGGGCGAGAAGATGAAAGGGCAAAAGAGCGAGAGGGGTGAGAGGGGCAAAAGGGCAAAAGGGCGAGAGGGGCAAAAAGGCAAGGTGGACGACAGGAGCAAAAGGGCAAGGTGGGCAAAAGGGCAAGAGGGGCAAAAAGGCAAGGTGGGCAAAGGCAAGGGTGAGGGTGAACAAGGGGCGGACATCAGGAAAAACCTTTTTGTCTTAGGTTGTCTTGAGGACAATCTGAGACATCTAAGACACCAAGGACAGTAAGGCTCCTGAAGCCTACATTCCTATATGTAAAATCTTATAGCATCCTCAGAGTGTCCTCAAGATGCTCAGAGGACAGGCTAAAACTACAGTAGATGTTATTCAGGAGGTTTCATTTTTTTATTCTGTTCACACTTCATGTATTGAAAGAAGACTCAATTATATTTCTCTATCTAATGTACATTGAACAGATTACACTAATACTAATACTGTATGCTATAATACAATCCCCTTCTACTGAAATATGCACTCACCCATAGCATAGAAAGAAGATATCATAATCTAGATATATAGTCAGTAGGATGAAGACAAAAAATATTACAACTCACTCTGGTACTCATCATACTGCCACCTGACTCCCAAATTCTTGCTTTCCCAATTCTTGCATTGCCACAGCCCTGTAAGCTAGAATTTTTTAGAATCCTTGGTAGTTTCCTAACTCTAAGTCTATGTCTGGGAGGGCAATATCCTATCTTCTATTTTGGGAAGGCTCTCCTATTACCATGGAGGGGTTACTGAGTGCCCAGCATGTGAAATATGACTGATGCCAAGACTGATGGCAGGTTATGTGACTTTTTAATTGCCTTTTCCTTCAGAGTCAGGCTCTAAAACTTTGATATTATGGCCTCAAAAGGAAACAATTAATAAATAGATGATTGCCAGGCCCAGACTTAGCATTGATGAAGAGCAATAAAGCCATCAAGTTTGCAGATGCTATCAACATCAAAGTCACATATGACAAGTTGGACTTTGCAAAAAATTGTTCAAGTTCCTTTCTGCTATGTCTAGACAGACACTAGGGGTGCCAGAAATGTGAAATTGACAGGTCACATGACTGTGAGAAATTTCCTTTTTGAGAAAAAAGTTGAAATAGAAACCCTGGGCCTAGGTGACCCTGCCACCATCAGCACGACCTATTTGGCTCCATCAACAACAAGATATAAGCCAAATAATGCTAAAATTTGCAAAATGCAAGCCATTTTTTCAGTAATCCACATTTTTCTCATCAACCAGAGCAGCTGATAGCATCAAACAACTTGATTCAGGGTCATGAGAAGGTGCTCTATGAACCCAGATACTTTTTTTTTCCAAAAAGAAATCATTATTAAATATCTTATTATGTGCCCTCTTCCCAAAGCGGAAGGTAGGATATTGACCTCCCAGACATAGACTTAGAGTTAGGAAACTACCTAGAATTTCTATATTTCTACAGCTGATACAGGTGATTGCCACTCCTTCAATTCTCTTCTTGTCCTGCACCATGTTCTGGAATATGTTCATGAGAATCTAGTCATTGAATGAAAAAGAAATAAGTACATACCTGTTGTTGAGACCATGAACTGGGGGCTACATGAGTATGCACTGGCAGGAGAGACGCACTGCAAAGGGGAAATATGGGTATTGAGTGATAAGAAGATCATTAAATGTGTGATAGAAAACATACCTTTGAAAAGAGCAGATAGCATGTTTGAAAGTGGGTGAGGTAAGAGAATGGGAAGAGTCACACAAGTACAGTGCTGGCAGGTTTGACAACACTTGCTGCACACTTTGTTTGGTGGAGCTATGACAACCAAACAACACACCATGACCATCATGTGACTTTGTTGATTGTGTAATGCACAACTCATTGTGATGATTCTGCACCATGCATGGCACAGATGTGACCATTCTCTCCAGCTGAATACTGCAAGAAATACCTCAGCTATGCTTCTCAAAATTTGTACCAGTGACCTCATGATATGAATGAATGATATTCCAAAATTTCAAATTTTTATATTATGTCTGCACAGTTTTGAAAAGGTGTACCTCTAATATCTCAGTAAATATTTGATCAAATAACATATAGCTTTGCAGAAATTATCAACAGTATGTATTGTAAATGCCTGTAAATTTTTATGTTCATAGCTGTAGTGGTTCTTGAGATATTCAGCTTCCACCTCCTGTATGAGCGCTCAGCCTGTCTGAGTTTGAAATTACTTAGAGCTTGAAAATGATGCACTTCCTCACAGTGTAGGCTCAATATCTCAGCAACCGTTTAAGCTAAAAAGCTGAAATCTTTTGTGCCAGTACCTCTGGTATCCTTGCTAATGGATCTCAGCTCGTGAAGCTTTTGCTTTATTATTTGTTGAGATATTCAAATGTGGGTTTTTGAAAAAGAGCAACCCTAATATCTCAGGTGATTTGATGCAAAAATGTTTGAAAATTTGCAGTAACCTTCGCATATAATGTGTATAGCACCATATAAATTTTCATAAAGATTGGTTAAGCAGTTGTGGAGGAATTCCATCTTGACCCTTGGAAAAGCGCCCACCAGTGGCTGTGCTGAGGATGCAGTGTGCATACTTTACCCAAAGTTGAAGACTCAATATCTCAACAACTGCTTGAGCTATCAGACTGAAATTTGGTGTGCAAGTACCTTTAATATTCTTGTTAATGGATCCCAGCTTATGAGCTTTCCGCACTATTATTGGTTGAGGTATCTCAATGTGGGTTTTTGAGAAAGCGCAACACTAATATCTTGGTCATTTCTTCAGGAGAATGTCTGAAATTTTACTAGTGCATGAGCATATATAGTATCTGAAAGTGTGCAAATTTTTGTGGTGATTGATTAAGCGGTTGCTGAGGAATTTTATCTTGACCCTTGACAAAGCACTCAGTAGTGGCTGTGCTGAGCATGCAGTATGCCTTGGTGATAAATCACCCAAAGTCAATGCTATGTGTAGTAGCACATCTTTATCAGATCCAATTCCCTACATATTATATACTGTCAGAACCACATTTTTATGCCCATTCTGGTTATGGCATTTATTTTTCTTATAAATGCATTCTTTCTATGTAATTCACAATATTCCTGTAAAGAGTTTGCAGTTTCTGGGTTTCTGCATGCAATATCTCCATAATTGCTAGGCACATTGCATTTATACTCTGGGACCCAATAGTATACATACATGTGATAATGTGTACCAAGTTTCAGCCAGTTTGGTCACCATTTGCACACAGAATGTGATGTTCTTGACTTTGCTCAATAAGAAAAATGCGCACATCTATATCTCTGGCGATATTGGACATATCTTTATCAAAATTTGAGACTACATATACTATCTATGTATCTACATGTACACAAAGAATTAGAGCAAGAGATTTTGTTTTGCCCCTGCTATAAGCAAATCTTGCTGTGCTACTCCCCCTCTACAGAGGCACAAATAATATACCTGGTGTCTTTTTATTCAATGAAGCACTTGAAGAATGAATATAAGAATATTCTGAAATACCTTTCCATTGGTTTTGGAGGATGTTTTCTATTGAAACTCAAGTACTGTCCATCTAAATAAATATCAGACATACATTTCTTTTCCCATGTGTCCCAGCTAGAAGATCATGAGAAAATGATTTATATGGGCCCAGACAGTGTAAATTTCATTTTATTTACCAATTAGGAGAACCCAGAATGTCTCCAGGAGGAGGTCAAGACAGTGAAGACACCTCAGGACAACCACAAGACAGCACAAGTGCCCTGAGGTGCACCTGACTTGGCTGCTGATCTTAAGGACAACCTAAGACAAAAAGGTTTTTCCTGATGTGCACTCAGTCCTGGACACATGGGGGTTCCATGTTCCAGGATCACACCTACTAGGGCTCTGAATTCTTAGAGCTTCAACAGCCTGACGGGCAGCTGATCCAGCCATCATACCTCAATGGGGGACCATGGCTTTCATATTTTGGACACAGTATTCCTGAGTTTGCTTGCATTTGCTAGTATATTAGGTTGCGTTCAGGAACAAAAAGATGGGCTTCTGAAATGGTGTTTCCATCTATAGAAGGAAATCCGTATCACTGGGCTGGATATCACATGAGCAGAGGGTCCTGTGCCCTTGTGACACAGTGTGACCTTGCGCAATTTTGTTGATTGTGCGTTTTGTTGATTGTCCCATTCCTTTCTCACCCCCTTCCATGGCCCAGAACCAATGTGACGCTCCTGCCTACTGGACCAAAGAAGATGAAACCCATCTCCTCAATTTTCTTTTTGACCACCTTGCGAGTGGTGGGGATGGTGCCAACTTCAAGAAGACCACTTTCCAACTTGCCTCCATTGAGGTCAAGAAGTTTTGCACTGTGGAAACCAAGGGGGGGTCAAAACAGCGCACGCCTGCCAGAATAAATGGAACATGGTGCATGTCAATCTATTTTTACTTGTCGCTTCTCTAATTCTTTTCCAGTTACATCGCACTTTCTGTGCCATTCAGGCCATCAAGGACTATACTGGATGGAACTGGACAGACGAAGGAGGTGCGAACATCACTGAGACCTCCTCTCGCTATCAAGACTGGCTCAAATTTGTCAAGATACACAAGCCAGCAGCCCCTTTTATGAGCAAGGGCTGGGCTCATCTTGATAAGATGACGCAGATCATGCCAGTGACTGTCCGTTGCCGCCACATCTTCCATCCTTCACAAAATCTCACTGGTATGTCTGCGGCTTGTGATGGGACCCCTCCTCTGGTAGCGGAGGTCGACAAGCCTGTTGAGGATGAAGATGGCCCAGCAGCTACCCTGGTTGTTGATCAACCCGTGGCTGCCGCAGATGAGGGATCTGGTGGGGAGAATGTGGGTGATGATGACCACAATAATGACGATATCCCAGTATGCTGCAGTGGCTTGTTCTTCATTGTGTTGATACTGACTAACCACCAGTGGGAGGTGACTCCTCCTCCTTTGGCACCACCTGAAGAGGTGACACCCCCTCATCTGACCACATCAGTAAGCGCATCTTGCAAGCGCCAACATGCGGCATCTGAAACGCCGGTGAAGTCTGTCAAGAAGTCTTGTGCGACTAGAGCCAATGCCATCCACGGGCTCACGAAGTCAATTGACAACTTCGGTGTCAACATCTGCAAGGTCTTAGCCATGGATCCTTCTCTCCACACCCCACAGCGCTGCAAGGATGCTGTTACTGAAGCTCAGAAAGAGTCTTGGCTCCCTCCAGTTGATTGCCTGGTCTTCTGCAATGTCCTCAAGCGGGACATCAGTGTTGTTGACACCTATTTGGTCCTCAACAAGAAGGATGTTGAGTTTTCTCACCTGTGGATTCAGGATAAGGTGGATCAGGCAAAGGAGGCACGTTTCACCCTTCATTAGTTTTGTTTTTCTCCTCTCTCCATAATATTTCTATGTTCATTTATATTCCTGGATTACCAATACCCTAATATTCCGTCACTCATTTATATCAATTGTTCTATGTTCGTTTATACTCCTGTTCTACTGATACCCTGATATTCTGTCACTCATTTATATCAATCGCAGCAATAGTCATTCCTTTCTATCCTACTCATTCTCTGGAATAAAATTCTCCTCAAGCACCTCTGGGTGCTCACATAGAAATTGTTGATAGTCATTCCGCATTTGCGTTGCAATCTCATCCCTCAATGCTGTTGCTCTGGCCCTCTCTACATGGGAGATCAAACCATCCCCAAGTGCTCCTGTTGATGTGTTATTTTCTGGAGTAGGTTCCTGGTCAAGATAATGTTCTAGATCAGTTTCATTGTGGTCCATGATGAAGTTGTGGACTGAACCAAGTCCAGCAGGTATCTTTGCCTGAATTGACAGGTCATACTGAGGTGGTCGGTTGAGAATATCCCAGCGTTTCTTCAGAACACCAAAGATACACTCAACAACATTTGGTGCCTGTGCGTGACAGAGGTTGTAAAGCTCTTCCTTATTGGCAGGTCTTTGAAAACGAAATCAGACTGGATTTACTGATGATGAAGTCAAATTTCCAATACTTACCTTACTCCTGCTTGGCCCCATTCAGCAAGATGGTAGTGAACTCCATGATAGGGAACCAATAGCGTATCACAAATTGCAAACCCTGCATCTGCAATGTAGTATTTTCCCTGAGGAATAGCAAAATCGAGAAGATGTGCATGCAAATACATGGTTGCATCGGCAGCTGATCCTTCAAACCCATTGATGATGTAGAGGAAATGAAAGTCGAAGGAGCATGCTGCAAGGAAGTTTTGGGTAATCCCTCCTTTGTGATCATGAGAGGCATGCTGGTCAGCAGCTGAAGTGAATGCATTGATATGAGTCCCATCAAGGGCACCCAATACACTCCTGAAGTATGGGAAGAATTTGGAGTTGGTAAGAATGTAATCAGGGATTGGAGTCGAGAGATCAGGAAGCTTGACATATAGGTCATAGAAAGGGCCAGATGACACTGCATTGAGAACTTTCTGGAAGTATCTAGCAAGATTGTGAGTTATTCATGTTCTACTTCAAGAGTGAATCTTACTTACTTTGATATTGTATCATTAGATCTCTGGAATCTTTCACCAAGATGGCGAATGGATAGTCCAGTTACACATGCATAAAGAAAGATTGCAGCTTGTTCCTCCACAGAAACCCTGTGTTTGGATGTTTCAAGGCCACATATGAGACGGAGATTTGCTACAAATGCCAGAAATACATGTAGATGCATCCTGAGCTCATTAAAAATTCGATCAGGGTGCCCGTTGATAAGTTTGTTGACCCATGCTTGCCCTGTCAGTGCCGATGTGTGGTAGGGTTGTTTCCAGTAATTGGCTTGTTGGTAGAGCATGGCAGCAGCCCCAATGATATGAAGGAAATATGCAGTGGCAGTGAGCACTTGTTGTTGAAGTGTTTTGCGGTCCTTATCAGATGGCATAGTAGTTTCAAACGGCGTACAGTACACAACAATGCAGCTTTATCTCAGACTTGATCGCATCCTGCCTCTTTTGGCTGTCACGCCAGGGTCCCACGTGATGCTGGGATTTTGAAACGCCATTTTGGAAGCCCATCTTTTTGTTCCCAAACGCAGCCTTACTGGCTACATGCCCATTGGAGCGCACTACCATCGCTTCAAGATTAATGAGCCTCATGGCTGCACTTGCGGTGCTGCTTTGCAGTCTCATCAGCACGTCCTCTTTCGCTGCCATGATCGATACTCTGTGCACTATCCCCGTTTTCTCAGGAATATTGCATCGTTTATGAAGTACAACCCTACAGTGTTTGGCTTCAACTGGGACCCTTCAGGTGTCAGTTAATCAGGGTGGGCAGGGGTTATTCCTCCTTTTGGGGGATTTATGGTGAATTAACACCCTCGGCTCTTAGGGGTTAGAGACCTGCACCTGTGCCATTCTCTTTGTGCCTTGCGGTTTGCCCTTGCAGGCAATTGCGGCACCACTAACTTTCTGGCTTGTTGGCCTCAAGACACTCTGCCATCTCCCAGGTGGTGCTTTTCTTATCTCATTTGCACTGTGTGGCCCCTGAACAGTGTTTGATGACTATGGGGCATAGCAAGACCTCGATGGTCTCCCCCCCTTACCCTGATGCACTGCTTTCATGAGGTGGGTTGCCCTCTGGGAAGTTTCAATGTATACACCAGAAGGGTCTTGGTTGGGGGGGCGGTCATCTTTAAGTAGCTAACTTAGTAAACAGGTCATATAGCATACGTGTTTGTAGATAGTGAGCAGGCTGCCATCGACCTCTGCTATAGAAATTGTTGATCAAAAAAAAAAAATTTGCACTTGTTCTTGAGCATGACAAGACTGAGCTGTTCCATTTTTCATGTCATCACGACACTTACAACCCTTTGCTGGATTTGGGGTTCGCTCCACATACAGGCGATACACCACTGAAGCCCAAGACCTATTGGAGGTACTTGGGCTTCTACTTCGACTGCGGGCTTATGTTCCATGAGTACATTCGCTACTATGCCACTAAGGCATTCACCACCATGCAGGCTATGCACATGCTTGGGAACTCTACCAGAGGGCTTTCACCTAGACAGCGACACCTCCTTTATAGATCATGTGTGGTTCCTATTGCCACATATGGATATTGTCTCTGGTATTTTAATGGAGCCTGTAACAAGGGTGCCATCAATCAGGTCGAGCGGATGCAGCAAAAAGCTGCTCTATGGATCATGGGTGCCTTCCGCACCTCACCCACAGGCCGTCTTGAAGCCTTAGCCAGTCTCATCCCATCTGTAGTGACCAGCGATATGTATCAAATTGGACTACTACCCAGTACCTATTATACATCAGGATGGGTAGTAGCCCAGTGGGCAACTGCCCAAGCCCAGCATATAGAAGATGTAATGAGATGATTAATAATCATTCCTTTTTGGGAAAAAAATATCTGGGTTCGTGGAGCACCTTTGGGTGACCCTGAATCAAGTTGTTTGATGCCATCAGCTGCTCTGGCTGGCGAGAAAAATGCAAATTACTGAAAAAACAGGTTATCTTTTGCAAATTTTGGCATTTTTGGCTTATATCTTGTCATCAATGAAGCTAAATAGGCCATGCTGATGGTGGCAGGGTCATCTAGGCCTAGGGTTTCTATTTCAACTATTTCTTCCCAAAAAGAAATTTTCTCATGGTCACATGACCACTCAATTTCTCATTTTTGGCACCTCTAGTCCCTGTCTTGACATAGCAGAAGAGAATGTAAGCAAATTTTTGCAAAGTCCAACTTGTCACTGATGTTAATGGCATCAGCAAACTTGATGGCTTTATTACTCATCAACAATGCCAAGTCTGGGCCTGGCAATCATTTATTTATTAATTGTTTCCTTTTGAGGCCATAATATCAAAGTTTTAGAGCCTGACACTGAAGGAAAAGGCAAATAAAAAGTCACATGACCTGCCATCAGTCTTGACATCAGTTACATTTTCCTCCTATGACTATGATGTCTCTCTACATTATTATAGAATGTCTTGGGCAATTGCCCAACGGGCTACTACCCATCCTGATGTATAATAGGTACTGGGTAGTAGTCCAATCTGATATATATCACTAGATGACAAGGCTGCTCATCCCGTCCGTCTCATGCGGAAGAAGTTGGCAGCATGTGCAGTGCATTGCATTGCTACCCTCTCAGACACTTACCCTCTTCGCTCCATGATGGATGAGAGGCTTCTCAAACGGGCTGAACCCCATGCCTGCTCTGCCACCTTGATGACCCCCGCTATGCAGGGGAAAGTCAAGAGCACTGTTATGGAGGTGGATGAGCATGTCCACACCTTAACTGAGAGCTTTGAGCCCTTTGTGCCCAAAGCTTGCCCTGGTGACCGGTTACTGGACCGCCTTGCAGACCATCTCTGCTTTGATGAGCACGATCCTACCCAGGATAGGCACCCATATCTCAACAGGCTCATCGCTAATGCGAGGGCCGATTCCTTAACAATACTGGCCATGGCTGATGGTTCTGTTCCTCAGTCTAACCAGTATCAGGTGACTTTGGCTGCCATCATTTACAAGGGACATTGTGAGCTCAACAGGACTTGCTATGTCTCTGGCAGAGTTACCGCACCTGATGCAGAGCTCAATGCCATTGTGTGTGCAGTGCGCCTTGCAGTCAAGCAGGCAAACTGCTGACATATCATGGTCTTTACTGACTCTATGGGCTTGGCCCACAGAGCAGTGGACTCCTCCATACATTCTGGTCAGGCTTTGAGTCTGTCAGTTTGTTGCGCTCTCTAGGAGTGGTTTGAGGCAGATGATCTCTGCTGCATCACTTTTATTTATGTTCCATCCGCTCTCTGGTGGGACATCCATAGCAAGGTGCACAAATATGTCAACAAACTTATAGTTATGAGGCCTTTTTAAAGGACTCATTCTTTATCAGCCCAGGACTTAGGCAGAATTTTCATTCATTGATTCACTCTTTGATACTGTGGCAAAAACCTTCCAAAAAAGGAAATTTTGATCAAAAAGATAGAGATTCTTTGGGGCTTCTTGAATCTTCTTAGATCCTGTGATTAGTTTCATTTCTCATAGAGATATTAATGATTTACTGTCCAAATTTCACAAAAAGGTGTACTTTTCTTGCATTTTTTTTTTGCATTTTTCTCAATGAGGAATAAAGCTAGTCACATGATGAGACCACATATAGGCTTGCCAAGACATTCTCCATCTTTTATACTTTTTGGGGATGTGCATTTGCCAGTTAGAGATCACTTGTTTGTCCATATTATACCCTGAGACTTTCCTGCCAAAGTCCAGGATCAAAACACTGGTACCATTTACAGACAGAGTTTCCCCTCCACACTATACCTTTTGTCCTAAATGATGTCCATTTAAGATAAACTTCAAAGGCTTTGAGAGAAATCTGCAAAATCCTTCCATTTACATCACATCAATGTGAATATTTGAGCCTTGAAAGAAATCAGCTGGAAACCGAATCTAAGCCTTGAAAGATAATATACTAAAACACCTCAATGCAAAATTTGAACGCAATCAGAGATGTGGTTCCCTTGTAAATGGTACATCTTGAAATGGCTCTATATGTCACAGAATCATGCTCATCACATGTGTCACATAATGCATCTGGGGGCTTTGGCTGCAAGGAAAACGAGCAATAGACAGTGGAATATGGCTATTTTGGCACAAGACATCTACGATCCTGAATTAAAACTCACCATACCAAAACTGGAGGATCAACTTGATGTGATCTGGGCTCGAGGACTTCCTAATATTCTAGCAAAGAGCAGATTCACCAAGAAGGCTGACAGACAAGCCGCACTTGAGGAAACATTCCTTTGCTATCAAGAATGGGTGAAGGAGCATGGTGAGCCTCAAATGGACTTGTCTGGGAATACTGGAATCATAGTTTGTGATGATTGTGAGGCTGTAGAGGACAGGGAGATGGAGGAAGATTGATAGATTACACACTGATCACACCCTTTAGCCATGATTTTACACTTCCCATGATTTGGGGCATTCTATAGTAGTACACAGTATATTGGAATAAATTTCTAAGCTTGTAGACCCAGTACACAGTCAAATTGCAACAAAAGTGCAAAGATATTGTGAACTTCAAGGAATCGGCACAAAATTATGTGGCTGTGCGCTTAGTCATGGTCCCATCAGCTAAACAACCAATGCGCACCCCCATAATTTTTGTCTTATATTGCAGTTTGTTCCCACAGATCACATGTCCACACTGCAGACTTGAAGTGGCAGCTTTGCCATCCCAAGGGATTTCCTTTTGCAGAGCAGGACCAAATGATGACCGAAATGACTGAAAGAGTGTCATGTGACAGAAGTAGCCAAATTGAGGATGGTTTGCAAGCCAAGAACCCTGTATGCTGAAGTGTGGTGCAGAAATAATGACAAAATGAAACACCTGCCGAGGAGTTTGAACAAGGTTTCAGATGAAATTCCTGGCCAGAAAAGTGCACAGATTTGCTTCCAGAACACCCTTGAAATGACCAATTTTTCCAGGACTGGCTGACCACAGAACGACTCATCACTCAGTCATCAGCAATTCCTGGTTGGGTTATGAGAGCTATACGAGGGTATGTAGCACTCCATAGTTAGGAGCCATCACGGTAGATGAGAAGATGCATTACAGCGCTATGGCGCGTTACGTAGCACTGCGTAACGCGCCATAACGCGGTGTAACGCTAAAATTGAGGTCATTTTGACCCTCAAAATCAGGATTTGCTGATGCGTCTTCTGTGTCAGACTACCGACCTGCAAGTCTAAACAGACAGCTACAATATAACAACAATAATTCATACCTGATCTACCTTGTATTATGTAGCTGTGCCCACTCCTAGAAGCGTGTCCAGGCCCGCCCGTAGGGCATTATCGAGAATAGTGTGAATTCGACACTTCGTGGGAAGAAAGGGGTAAGCGGACCGCTCTACAACAGCACAGAGAGGCGCCTGCACAGCACCTCACACCACTCTCATGGACGACCTCGACAATGACCAACGAGCTGCCCTACAGCAGCTGCGCGAGATTACAAACGGCGCTGACGACGACGTGGCGATTGGCGTGCTCAGCAGTGTCGACTGGGATGTCCAGGTACGTTACTCGATCGTGTAGAAGGCATCTCCTACGAATTGACGCCCGTCGTCCCATGCCTAGCGAGCAGCCGAGCTCATCTTCGGGACGTCGTCAGGTGCACCAAACCCACCTGCGAGCTCAGGGACACGTCGTATAGAGGTATTTGAGGTGGACGACTCGGGGCAAGGAGACTTGGAGGAGCCCGTGCGGCCCAGGGTAGGCAGCCTGCTGTATTTCTTCCTTTCACGTATCCTCACCCTCTGCACAGCGCAACTCCAACTCGACTGCCCTCGCCGTGATGCGGCCTTTTCTCTCCCTCTTCGCCGTCCCGCTCCACTTCCTCTCGAACATCATCCGCTTCATCTTCGGCCTGCTCCGAATCCCTGTACCCCAATTTCGCTTTACTGGGCTCAATTTCTATCGTCCGCTACGCCCTCGCCTGCGGCCCCAGTCCCGTGGCGGGCCCGACCGGTGGCTACGCGAGCTCGAGGAAGAGACGGGCGCCATTTCTATCGGCCGCTCGAAACTGCCGCGCGGGACGACATCCTCCATCAGCGTTGGGGGCCAGTCCTCTTCCTCTGTGAGCTCAAGGGCTGCCCAAGTGGGAAGCGGGAATGGAATTGTGGAGGATGGAAGGAAATACTTGCCAGATTTTGTGATTTGTGGGTACGAGGAGATGCTGAGGACATGCCAGCGCGAGGCGAAAATTGGCTGTGTGATCCTCGTGAGCGACGAGCATGATGACACGCCCGAATTCAAACGGTAAGTACCAATATATGCTACCGTCACTACTCATTTCTCATCATGCTCTAGTTCAACTCTCACCGACCCAGCCTTTGTTAAGATTCTGTACGACAACGACGTTGTCGTGTGGGGAGGAGACGTGCAAGACCGTGAAGCCTGGACAGGTTTGTTTCTCGCCTCATGTCCTCCATGCCCCTCTGACAAGAGTCTCAGCCGCCGAGAAACTACAAGCAACAACCTACCCTTTCGTCGCCTTCGTGGCCCTCCAACCACCTCGTGCTCCGGCCTCTTCACGTTCCTCCTCCTCTCCTCCCTCCCTCACCGTCCTTTCACGGCACCAAGGCCCACCCACCCCGCACACCTCCGGTCCCACTTCAGCGCCTACCCTCGTCACCCACCTCGAGACCCAGCTGCTCCCGCGCGTGACGCCCTTCCTCGCCCGGATCAGCGCGGCGCAGCGCGAACGCGAGCGGGACCGACAGCTGCGCGACGAGCAGGACCGGGCGTTCCGCAACGCCGCTCGACGCGACAAGGAGCGCATCGAGGCAAAGATGGCCGAGGAACGGCGGATGCTCGAAGCACGGAGGCTGGCCGAGGAGGAAGCGCGGCTCGCGGCGGCACGGAGGGCGAGGGAGGCGGAGCTCGCGCGCGCGCGAGAGAGCAACAGGATGGAGTGGCGCCGCTGGACGCGGAAAGCTGTCGTTGGCGCTGAGGTGGAGGGCTCTCTTAGGATCGCAATCCGCCTGCCTAGCGGCGGGCGTGTCATTCGCTCGTTCCAGCCTACTGCGTCGCTCACTGCCCTTTTTGCCTTCGTCGACTCACAATTTGTGCCTGCCAACCTTTCGCCCTATGACGACCCCGCAACGCTGCCGGATCAGCAAGGTGTCGGGGAAACAGCGTTGGAACGACACGTCGAGACGCATGGACCTCAGGAAGAATATTGGGGCTTCAAAATCGTGATTGCCTATCCAAGGGTCGAGATTCCTTGGAGCCGAGGCAAGACGCTTGTAGAGATCGAGCATCTGAGGGGTGGTGGCCAAGTGGTGGTTGAGCTTGTCAGCGGAGGGCGAAGGAGCACAGAGGCTCATGCGGAGGAAGATGACGGGTACCATACGGAAGACAGCGAGTAGATATGGGTTCTTGGAGTGTCCTCTTGTTCGAGCTATCTTGCCTACTCTCCTGTTCAGCGCCAGTCCTTTTGTTAATTATAATACACTGTTATTATTGCTAGTTCAGAATGAGCCTTCGGGACCAATAGTCAAACAAAGGAAGCACGAAAAAAAACGTGAGCGTGGTCATTAAATATCGCGATCGCCGTTGGGCGTCTACTGGCTGAGGATCGTGCGTACAAAGGACTCGTAGTTGACGTTTCCGTCTCTATGTAGATGTGAGTCAACGCAGCGTCACGATACAGTGAATCCACGTACGGCCCGATCTGCACACCCTTCAGCAGCTCATCCACTTCCTCATCGGACATCTTCTCCCCAAGCTGCGTCAGCACGTATCTTAGCTCTCCAGCGCCGATGAACCCGTTGCCCTCCTTGTCGAACACCTGGAAACCACGGATGAACTCCTCTGAATAGACCCAATTTAGTTCTCTCCTTTAGAATCATAACCCAGCAAACACACCTGGTGTACCAGCAGGCTTGAAACCATCGGGTCGGTTGAGAATAGTCAGGAACGTCTTGTAGTCAACTGCGAAGGACAGAGGTGTGACAAGGGTGAGCGGTGGGTGATCGAGGCTAAAGGGGCGAAGAACGCGTACCATCGCGCGGGGCAGAGGCCACGATCTCCGCAACTTCTGCTTGCGTTGGGTTCTGGCCTAAGGCGCGTAGAAGATCGCCGAGAGTCTCTCTAGAGACGGAGCCAGTTCCTTTCTTATCGAAGAGAGCGAATGCCTCCTTATATTCTAGTAATGCGGGCCGTTAGATGACGAAAGTAGGCATTAACTGGTTATTTTCTGACCTGCGTTGTCACTCTATGTCAAGGAACGAATCAGAATGGTCAAAAAGTGCGACGAGAGTGCGTGCTTACCATGGTGGTCGTGGATGAGATGAACGGTTTGTGTCTGGGGTGGTTCAAGTGCCTGTTTTGGAGTGTTAGGCCCAAATAACGTCGCCCCCGATCACGATTGTTGACGCGTCTCTACGGGTACGCGCCTCTCTTCCTTTACATTTACAACCATGGTGCGTCGTTAAAAAATTGCGCATAAATTCTGCCCGACTGAATTTTTATATGCATAGGAAGTTGACCCCTACGCTGACACACTCCCTCCGCGTTACGCGATCGAGTCCGACGAGGAGGAGGAAGAGTTCAACTCTCTGCACGTCGTAAAATCAGCTACGAAAGACGCCGCTGTGGAGGTCAAGATCCTAGGAGACCTTCCCTCAGGCAACCTAGTAGTTGCCTCAGAAGCAGCTGGTAAAATATGGGCAAAAGGTGCAAGCTTGGGCGAGCAGACCGGAGCCGTTTACGCGAATAACGTCCAGGTTAGTCTGCGTGAATCTCTCAAGAGTTGGAAGATATCAACGAGTTGCAACTAAGATCGGACTTGTATTTAACCCATCTTGGACAAAATCGGTAGTTATAATCTCTGAAGCGCTCTCGAGACTGCCTCTATACGTGATGCATTCATACGCAAAGCACATTCTGGAATCCCTACAACCAAAGAGGTGCGCTACCTGTCTTTCATCAAAGAAATCATTCTGGATCCTAATAGTTTCCGTATTCCCAAGCCTCTCGCTTCTGGATACCTACGCAGTGCCGACATATTCCGCGGACCACCCAATTTCTTTCCAAGAGGCGCCGATTCGGTATCTCTCAGCAGCTGAAGATACGAAGTTCCTTGTACGCAACAATTTTCTCCTTCTGTTATATTCCTCACAGAAATACAGAAAGGAAAAGCAGAACCATTCTCGCCGCCCAACCTTATCCAAAGCACCTCAGCGTCTTTCCTGTCCATCCTCAGCATCACCAACACACCCGCAACGCTGATCCTCCTTCCCTCGCCTCACATCCCCCACCCTCCTCCCAAACAAATATCCCTGTCCAATATTTCTCATTTGACATACGACGACGTCGAATGGCCCACAAACCTCATAAATACTGCTCAGAGTCTCTTGTTCAAGGCCGTAGGCGAGAACACCGACCATGCTTGGAAGCCACTCGAGAGGACGAAACGAGAAAAGACATCGAAGCGGAACACCGAAGTCGGCGAGGGGGGCATGTATATCTAAAGACTAACAGATGAGAACCGACGCGAATGACAACAAATAACGAGCATTAACATGTATATTAGAGTATCTGGTGCTACCATATTCAGAAAAGAGCGATTACGAGGCGCTAAAAAGACGGGGGTATGTGGGATGAGATGCGTGCATACGTCTGTCATAGAACAAGAATCAAAACAAAAGAAACCCGTCCACAATGCATCAGGAAACAAGAAATCTCGATCATCACCGTACAGGGAACGACCCCGGAATCGGCTGCCTTCTCCTCTCGGGATGGTGGAAATATGTCCCATATCTTGACAGCCGCGCCAATGGGCCAGGGCTTCCCGTACTGCTACCTGCTGCTGCTACACCCGCACCCGCTGCACCCACACCTCCCACACTCTCATCCAACATCGACTCCGTAATCGACTGGTCAAGCCCATTCTCCGTCGTTCCAAAATCTTCCTCACTATCATCTTCCTCTCCCAACCATTCACCATCATCGTCGGGGAGCATGATCACCCCAGAGGCATGATCGTAGCTCAGTCTATGGCTCAGAGCGCGCTGATGCCCTAGTCGCTCGTGGTGGGGGTCTTGCCACGGGTCGATAACCGCGCTTGGATCCACTGGTGGGGCGCTGGCTGCGCGGTGCGCGCCCAGCCCGTTAGAACCCGAGGTTCCAGCGATGGCATCGCCCGCGCGGCTGTCTTGCGAGTGCTGACGCCCCTTTGCGCGGGCGATGCTGTGCCGCTTGCGCAGGGTAAGGACGACTGCCTGGTCGTTCGCGTCGCGGGGCGGTCGCTGCGGGCCGTTGCGGTCATTATTGACGAGAGTTTGGCCTTTCTTGAGAGGGAGCCAAGGTTCTGGTAGGACGCCGTTTAGTGCCGGGTGCCCGTATCGACGCTTGCCGGTGCTTTAATCACATTGTGAGCTTGGTCAATGCAGAAAGGGATGAAGGCTTACTTCAAAACACCACTGTACCAATTCGCCATTGGAGGTTGCGACTAGAAACCAATCAACAAACAGTTGCAACGCCAACAACCGGAAAAAAACCCACATAATCCGTCCGCTCGTCTTCTGGAGCAACATACAGCGTGTCATCGTTCTGCGCATACCTCCTCCTATTTAGATTGCTGAAAAGGTGTTCATCAGCTTCTCAGTCTATCTCTATGCAATTGAATGAAGACCTACCTCTGACTCCAAGTAACCGGATGCCCCGCCCTCAATCTCAGCACATCCGCCGTCTCCTCCCCTCTCTGCACCTCAAACACCGAGCTTAATCCCACATACTTGCTCAAGGGCCGCAACGACTTGTCGACGTGCCACGACCACGCGATGGTCGCGGCGAGGAGGGGCACGAGGAGAGAAGAGAGGATCCACGACTTCCGGAGGGTGAAGATGCCGATCATGAACAGAAGGAAGATGACAACGCCCCAGATGAGGCGGATGAAGGTGATAGGCCAGGCCTGGCCTTGGGATTCATAGGGTTTGTAGAAAACTAGAAAAGCCGTTAGGTAAAGGAAGACAGAAGGCTGGAAGGGTAAGCTTACCGAAGAGGAGTTTGTATTTATATACCACATACGCGACCCCGAAGTAGATCGCACCAAAAATGACGATAAGAGGCTGAACAACGCTGTACAGCATCGTGATGACGAACATCAGGATAGCCTGCGGGTACACCACGCCATAGTTGATCATCGGAGGGGCATTGAGCTCAGCGAAATCTAATCATAAAATGATATGAGACAAGGTCGAATAGGGTCAGCAGCGGACAGAGCCAACATACCACGAGGAGTACGCGTGAGGAACATGCGGTAGAAGACACGAGGGATGATAACACCGAGGTTGAGAAGCTGTAGAGGCATGATACCGAGGCCTGACCAAATCATGGTTCATTATCAAGGAAGAGCCGATATAATATTGCCCTCACCTTGAAGAATAACGTATGATAGGAAGAAATGTCTTGCTCGACCTGCTTGTAACGACTGAGCCAACTTTTCTGGCACCTTCGCAGGCGAGTTGGCAAGGTCTCGGACGAGTTGCCAATATGTCGTAGCGAGCAGGAAAATAAACACGACGTTGATCAACAGGAACAAGAAATATCTGACAAAATGTCAGCCCAGCAGCAAAATAAAAAAGAAACCAAAGTCCCACTTCTTCAACAATGAATACTCGACCCAACTCCTCGCCCTATACCCTTGAACATACGTCAATCCCTCCAGCATGAACGGCAAGAACGCATTCAGGGTGATCATCGCAACCGACGGTAGCGAGTTCTGCACGATCGCGCGCACCTGGTCGTTCGAGTCGATCAGCCTCCCGAGCCAGGGCATGGCCTTCTTGATCTCCTTGTAACTGAGAAGACTGGCAAGGGCGGTGATGGGGAAGAACCAGAAGAAGAGCAAGAGGCCCATAGTGGCAAGTACGAAGACGTCGCGGAACTGGATGGCGCGCGGAGAGGTGACCATGTTGGACCAGACAATGTCACGAGGTTCGGGGGCAGGGTAGGTCATTATTTGATTGGGGTTGGGAGCGTGCGCGACTTGGACGGCGATTTGCTGTTGCTGGATCAGGACGAGAAGGATAAGGAGGGAGTGGAGGAACGTACTGCGCTGGACATCTTCTCGAAAGTGACAAATGCCGCACCAGTCGACCTATACTTGCCAAACCGCCTCTTCTTCTTGACCAGCTCATCCGCATTCCTGAACTCCGCCTCGAGAAACTCTAGAGCATCAACTCTAGGCTTGAACCAGCCAGGACGGATCGTGGGCCGTTGACGGTGTGGTACAACGAGTTTTTGGGCCTGCTGTGCGCCACCTTCAATGTCCGTATCTACCAATGCAATGCCGTTCGTTTCAGGATCGTACTCTTCCACTGTGCTGGGATTGCCGACATAGCTGACCCACGCCGCCTCGAGTGCCAGCAGTGCCTTGGTACGTTTGTCCAACAAGGTCTTCAATGATCCGACCTCCCTACACACCGTTACGCTCTCGACTGCGAGGTCCATGTTCTCGAAATATTCGGCCAGAGTCCGTTCGCCCTGCAGGTGGTGAGGTAGGTTCGTGACCAAAACAGTCCGCGCAGGAATGGAGTGGACGAGTTCGAGAGAGAAGAGTTGTCGGGAGTGGATGAAGCGGCGGTAGTTCTTGTAGATGAAGTAGAGGGCGAGGAGGGTGAAAAGATAGGTGAACACGAGGTGGACTGAGAGATACGAGTTAGCGTCGCTGATGAGGTCGAGCCAATCTGGAGGTATGGTGTGGTTGGACGGGGGAGGGTCCACGAGGCTTCTGTGCCACAGGGTAGGCCAGTCTTCGTCCTCTCCTGGCCAGTCGTCATCATCGTCGAGGTCTTTGTTATGCTATCAAAGAATGTATAAAAGCGAGAGCAAAAAATAATAATAGGAAAACATGTACCTTCCAGTTTATGGGCATGAGGATAGTGATCGCAAACAAGGAGCAGACGGAGAACAGGTAGAATGACATTTTGAAGAAGTTCAGAAGCTGGAGAATTGAGAAATCAGACAGGACGCGAAGTGAACGTGAATGTAGTCACGTACGACCGCAGCATCGAGACCAACGATCTGGAGGACCGTAAATTCTGAGGTTCGAATGGTGGGCATAATCCAGCCAAAGAATGCCTGGTGCGCGTGTGCCTCATGGGGGGAGAAACCTGCAATCGTTATGAATACATGAGTAGTTATAGAGATCGCGAAGGCGCACCTTTGAGCTTTGTTCGCGGTGCAAAAAGGAGGGGGTACCGGGTGCGGCAGTATGAGAACACGAAAAATGAGAATATACCAATGGTGGCTGAGATAGTGAGCTGCGTCGTGAACCACGGTCCTTCGAACGTAACTGCAAGGGGTTAGCATGACAGCGAACAGGAGAGGCAACGGGCAGCTTACACGTCGGAGGCGAGCCTGGGGGCAGTGGGTTTTCACCGCCACCATCGTCTTCGCCGAGGAGGGCCGCGACGAAGGGAGCGAGGGCACCGTAGGCCATGATGGGGAAAGCTGCATGCTCGCTGCTTCGGACGTTCGGGCCAATGTATTTGGCTCTTTGCCCACGGCCAAACATACCCCTCTCCTCCGTTCATGTTCATCCTCCGTCCACTGCGAGCTATTGCAAGCAAAAATGTTCGACACTATGCGGTAGTAGCACTCAAGGAAAATATCAGACCGACGCTAGAGAGTGTGCATGCTCTCGAGAAAGAAAATTCGCGTCTTCTGCGCGTTGTCCAGAAGCGCGTCGACGAACGCGCAAGACTGCAGTCTGAGGTAAATTCTGATGAAGTTCCTTTGAAATTACCCACTAACAAGTCATAGCTTTCGGAAGAAATGTCCTCACCGGAAGACATAGCTCGCCTACGGCAGCTGAAGGAAACGGAAAACCTTGGGAATGCCTGGACTTTCTGGCAGCAAACCCGAGAGGTCAGGTCCATTTTCCTCTCTTCTACCCGTGCTGACGGAAATCGTAGTAGCAACTAGAAGAAACCTCTGCCCTCTTCGACGACCCCGATCCATCCATGCGTTCTCTGGCTATGGAAGAAGCCAACTCCCTCTCCGAAACCCTGTCCGGCATCGTCCAAAACACATTCCCCTCCCTGCTTATTCCGCCATCCACCACTGCGCAACTTTCCGCACTCATGGAACTAAAGTCTGGCGTGGGAGGCTCCGAAGCGAGCTTATTCCTTGCTGACCTCCTGCGCATGTACCAACGTCTCGCCAACAACACCAATTGGAAGGCTTCGATAGTGGCCAAAAATGACACAGAAGGCGGTGGTATAAAGGACGCTGTCGTCGAATTCAAGGGTGAGGGCGCTTATGATGCTCTAAGATGGGAAAGTGGGGTACATCGCGTGCAACGTGTACCAGTCACTGAGGCGAGTGGAAGGACGCATACAAGCACTGTGGCCATCGTTGCGCGTTTGTTTCTAGTTTTTTACATGCCTCCGTGAACTGAGTCTTTGCAGGTTCTCCCGCTCATGGAGGAAACGGATATACATGAAGATGAACTGTTCTCAATGGATGACATCAAGCTCGAAGTCATGCGTGCCCGCGGTGCTGGCGGCCAGCATGTCAACAGAACAGAATCCGCCGTCCGCATAACGCATGTACCCACTGGCATAACTGTCTCCATGCAGGACGAGCGGAGTCAACACCAAGTGCATATCTCAATACTTTCTTCTTCGGCCTTTCTAACCTACATCTCTGCGCAGAACCGAAGACGGGCCTTCCAAGTCCTCCGTTCCCGTCTCATGGACCTCAAACTCACGCGCGAGATGGAGGAGCGACGGACAACACGACGAAATCTCGTTCGTGGCGCAGACCGGAGCGAGAAGATTCGGACATACAACTATGCTCAAGTACGTTCAGCCTCCCCTCTGCGTTCAGTGATCTCCTTTTCTGAACGAAATCATTTTGACGCATAGGATCGAGTAACAGACCACCGTATAGGCTTGACGATGAAAAACCTGACCTCCGTGATGGAGGGCGACGGCATCCAGCTCTTCATCGATGCTGTCCAGCGGGACCACGCCGAGTCGGTCATGGAGGGGATGTTGGAGAGTTCTGAGGGTGCTTAATCATGGATTACAGGTAGAGCACGTTGTTGAAAATTGCACTAATTAATCTGGACATCGTCATATATATACGTGGTATAATCTATTTCGCTTTCTATCTCGAGAGTGCCGGTTTTCATATGGTGCTTGGATCCGACCTTTTTCTGAAGCAGAAGGGTCGACACGGCGCGAAGGTAAGCACTGCATATAAGTATCTGGCTGTTGATTACTAAATTCTTATTGCTTTTAGGCTTCCCATCGTCGACAGTGCCTATGATTCGCTGCACCAACTATCTCGTCGATCACCTTCTCCCGGCCTGTTCCATGACCCGACCAAGAAAGTGGATCGTTTTCTGATCCCTAGCTTCAAGTCAAGTCTGCAGGCGCCCACCGAACAGAGTCAGGAATCAAACTTCAGCCTCCCACTGAACTCGGTACCGCGCCACCAAACGTGCAATGAGAGATTTGATCTAGTTACTTTTCCCAACAAATCTCAAGGCTCTCCTTGGCGCGATTGCAACAAATACGCTTTGTACGTGTCGCTTTCAACCCCCTGATGGTCTTTATTGCCAACTCTATGCCCCCAGTTGCCGTCATCCAACAGCCTTATATGCAGCGACAGATACCCCTCAACGTCCCTCAGACCTTCCCGCCTAATTGGGAGGAATACTTCGCAGATGCGGACACAAGCACAATCCCGACAGAGGAACAACTATACCATCCGTGGTATCAAACCGATGAAGACTTCAACAAATACTACGAGCCTATCGGTGTCAACGTGAAGGCTCTCGTCTTTGCTGTCATGCATGTGCTCGACGTTCCAACCTCAGCCATCCCCGAAGTCACTACCACCGCAGGCGGAGCCTTCAATGCCGTGTTTTGCATCACCTTGCCTCTTCCAACCCCGAAGGATGCGAGTTTCGCATCGCCGCCCGGATTCCAAGGATGAAAACACGGAATGAGCCCCGCCGCGTCGAAGCGACTGTGGCGATCATGTCTCTCGCCCGACACGTCAGAGGCGTCCCAGCACCAGAGGGTGTACGCCTGGCATCCTACTGCTGATAACCTCGTCGGCGCGCCTTACATGCTTCTCGAATGGGCTGAAGACATTGACCCTTGGTATCACTGGATCCGTGCACGCGAATCAGACAATCCTATTTATCCATGAGCTGACCGAGCACCACGCGGGGTTCGCTGACGCCTTGCCCTTCCAGCAGATCGGTAGCATCTATTTCGCCAACACCAAGGCGGGTTTGCCGCCCGACGATATTGCCTCCTACCGCGTCCCAGGCCCTACTATCATCGTCGACGCAGACCACAGGCGAGACTACGTTACTCCTTGGACGCAGATTACGGCGCCCTCGCTGCGCGAGTTCTGGCTTGCCGCCATTCAGCATGGAGTCGGCTCCATCACCGCAAAGTATGGCACGGACAGCTCAACCGTCATAGGATGTCACTCTTGGCGCGTTCCTCGACTTGGCTGAGGCTCTGCGCGTGCTCATCGAACGCATGCTTTCAAGATTTCCCCCGCCAGAAGCTCACCCTGAGCTGTATGCCCCATACTTTGTGCCCGCCGACTACGTCTTTCGCAACAACCGCGTGAACCTCGAGACGCGCAAGATCGACAAATTCCTCGACTGGGACGACACGTGTGTCATGCCATTCCTGCTAGCCACACGCCTCCCGGACGACATATGCGAGCAGGATTGCGCCCTCAGCGAGAACCTCCACGAGCGACGGCTAGGGGCTGACGGGTTCCCCAGCCTATTGACGAGGGAGGGGACCTTGTTCCGCTCGAACATTTGACACCTCGAAATATAATATCAGACTATCAACTTCAGTTGAAAATCCTCGACAAAATGCGTGTCTCTACGTCTAGAACGGCAGGCTCGACATAGCGTTGACGTGCGCCAACAGCTGACTATATACTGTTGCCGCTGAAGGGGGGGCAGCGTCCGGTCCTCCAGACACCTTGAAGGGAGAAACGATGGTGACTTTGTCATCAGGTTTTTTGCTGTCCTTCGCGCACTTCAGCATGACGAAGTACTCGTTAATAGTGATGGTCCTCTTCTTCTTGCCACTTCCCTGGGTCTCTGTTCGTGTGATCTTTTGACCGTAAGGGCGACAATGAGGCGCGCGGGATGTCCCTCCAGAGTGGAAGGGAGTCATTCTAGTGCCGAAGTCAGCGGCGCCTTGCGTTGCTCCTTGGTTCAACCACGCGACGATCTCCGACTTAGAGGTCTGTCGGAGAGATCTGAGCCGGAGCTTATAACGTGCAAGGAGAAGAAAGCATACCTTAGCACGAGCGAAGATGAGTTCTTCGACATCATATCCTCGGGCGGCGAGCTGGCGAGCGCGGGCGTTAAGAATGCGCTCCCTGGATACCGGGGAGCAAGTTTAGCATCCTGATTTGAAGTTGGAGGTGAACATATATACCTGGTTTCATAGTCGGCGTAGGCGACGTCGCGTGCCTGGACGAGCTGCGAGAGCTCATTTCGAGCCTCGAGCTCTGCGAATGCAACAGCACCAGGCGCAGCAGAGACCGAAATTGCACCGAGTACAACGGCGGCAAGGGCAGTAGCGTTGAGTTGAACCATTGAAAATTCGTGGGGCTAGTTGGAGTGGGGAAGAGAGTAGATTGTATATGAAGTCGACAGGTGACGATTCTTGGGCGACCAGCACCGAAGAGGGGAAGAGCTCAGCTGAAGAAAAATGGGTCATCAAAACACCCCTTTTATACAGTTGCAGCAAACCAGGCGCCTTACTCTGGGGTCTGCCGAAACAGATGTGGTGAGATTGATCGGCAGTTGATTCACGAGAATGATCGGCCTTCCAGTAGCGGGCGCTACTTTCAACGCTCCGATGCCTATTTTCGGTGTCGATATGGGCGTACTTTACGACGTTCTTCTCGATCAGCAACCAGGACGACGTCGCTTGGAAGAAAGTGCGCCAGAAATGTAGAAGTAACGTAACAATGGATTACAATTCGTACCGCTGACCGTTAATCCTGTACCGTTTGTTCATGTGCGCCTTCTCGAGGACGTCAGATACGTCTAGAGTGTGACCGTCATCCGAAATCCAAAGATTTTCTGCTCGGATGCTCCCAGAGCGAACAATATTACTCTCCTCGGACTCTCAGGCTGTCATAGATTCGCTCATTCGGGTAGGGTCCGAAAGCATTCCGGATCGCTTGGCCAAGTCATAAGTACATAGCAGACGCGAGGAACTAGGTTACACGAGACTCGGCGTGCCTGATAATGCCTAGCCGTTGGACGGTTACCCTCAAAGCTTGCTGGCCTCTCGGTCATCCAGCCAATCAGGTTGCTGATGCGCCACAATGTCGGTGCCAAATTCGTCATATTTGAAGCTCCGAAAGGAACACCAGCACCCGGTGTTTCCAATTTGCCTTTCACATAACCAAGATAACCTGGCCGAGACCGCGGATGCCATCGTTGTATCTTCGTCGGACTGACGGAGGTAGGCATCCTTGTCGGATTTTAGCATAAGCTGAAACGCGATTCAAGCGCGCTTATGTAGGTTGCTTCTTCTCATCACGGCGCTCAAGACGATTAGCTTAGACAGTACGAAAATAGTAAGCACCCTTACATAAAAGTAAATTTATCATGATAGGAACTAGTCGTCATTCAATGAGCTGATGACTCCGTGGAACTCTCTCAACGCATATTATCAGCAAGGAGTGTCGTGGAGACCACGAAGTTGACATGAAGGGCCTTCATGGACATCAGCTTAAGCTTTTTGAGGTCGAAAAATTCCATTGTGCCTGATCAGGTTATCCTCAGAACCTAATACAATGACGGCGAGGCTGTCGTGGTGAAGATGGACAATTTTGGCACGGTCGGTTTGGATCCGGATCTCTGGCAAGGAACGAAGATATCGATTTGGATTGCACAGCTCGCCGGCCTTGAAACATCTCACGAGAATCATCAGGGTATTTCACGGGAGTAGAACTTGGGCTCAACTTGTGCGTGGGATTTTGGAGCAGTTTGCCATCCTCCAGCGCTCTTCCGCATAGAAAATTAGATACTTCCGTAGGTTCATCCTCATTGTATTATTTTGTAGAATTTGAGACGCTGGGCTACCGCAGTCGGCAGCAGCGACGCAGGCGAAGTGACAGGCGTGGGCGACGGCGAAGGGGCCCGCAAAACGCAACTCGGACCCAAAAATTGGAAGCCAAGTTGGGATCTGTTCCCATCCGTTTTCGGTAATTGTCATCAATTGTCAAGGTATGCTCAAGCGCTCATCGTCTCAGTGTGATGCACGACGAAAGAAAACCCATGTTGCACTGACATTCCTCCGCTTTAATGTCGCATTTCTTTTTTTACGTCGCTAAGGTTTGCCCTCACAAGCACCCCGGCCGTGACAACAATTCTGAGAAGAAAATGAAGCAACTCGCAGCAGCAGGTTGGCAGGACGATTCTGAGGAAGCGAAAGCGAGACACGTTGCATAAATCTGGTGGAGGTCGTCCTTGCGGGTTAATATGCATACTACATTGCATAGAAAGAGGACGCGGGGCATGGATAGGTAAATTGAACGAGACGCTTATCGGCCTCCCTTGCCACCCTTCATCTGTTGCTTGGACACCTTGGGGCCTGAGGGGGCAGATGTGCGCGCAGGCTGTAACAGGAGTTCCATCATGTTTCATTCTTTCTCAAGAAACAACACGGGGACGAACCTTGGTCTTCTCCTTCTTGGTCTCCTTCTCCTTCTTCTCCGACTTGGCCTTCGAGATGGCAGCCAGCCGTTGTTGTGTGCGAACGGCGGCGGTCTGGTTGCGCTTGGCGGCGATGGCGGCAAGGTCAGCACCGACTATGCCTCGCTGGTGCTTGACGGTCTTGCGCGAGCGCTTCTTGGCAACCTCCTCCGTGATACCCTTCTTGTGCATCTTGCGGTAGACTACTGTCCAGGCGATCTTGCGGGGGTTCTTGCGCTGCAAGAAGAGGGAGGCATTTTTCGAGCTGGCGAAGCGGAAGATCTATGAAATGAGTCGGAAAGATGAGCCGGAGGGGGTAGGAAGGAGGAGGGAGATGTACTTTGCTGTCGCCGCGGACAAAAAGCTTGCCCTTGCTTGGGTAGATACGGTACCCGGAGAATGAATCGATCTCGAGCTTCTACACTCGCCATTGATACGTTAGAATTAGGAGACAACGTGGATGGACAAGAGAACGCACCATCTACAAATCGAAAGCATGCCAGAGAACAATTCGTTAGCTTTCCATCCCAATGCGCTCAGCTTTCCCCCCTGCCGCGTGAACGTCATCCGACCCGTTCAAGTCCCATCCATCCACAAAGTCCAACGAAACCTCATAAATTTGGGTTCTTCATAGGTGCCTTCTTCGCCCCAACGCAACGTAGCGGTCAAAAGATGTACAATCGAGGGACGGTGCTCACCTTGATGGGTTTTGTCGGGCGTGTCGATGATGGGCGTAGTGTTCACCAGACTGCAGACACAATCGGCAACTACCGAAGTACTCCCACGATGGCTCTTCCAACCAACTTTTAGTCTCTCAGCCAACCTGACCAACTTTCGACTGGACTTCAGGAAAGAGAATACCGAGAAAACGTGTAGGCGTCAGCACTTGACGTGCATTTAAATGTATCTTTACGAGCGAGCAAAGGAATTTCGGACTAGCGCGCGGACTCCGGAGTTCTTCAAGAATCAAGTAGGAACAGTGCACGACCTGTTCATCTCCTTCTCCTTCAACAATAAATGCATCCTCTCAAATATTTCCCTCGTATTTCTCCCGACTACATAGCATGAAAAGAACAGGCGAGTGCCTGTGAGGAGTGAGAACGACAGGGGCCAAGCCTTGGGAAACCAAACACGCCCAAAGCCATTTTCTCATATTTTGCCGCCTAGTGGTGCCAGCACATCCCTTAGCCTCGTCCTACAATGTCATCCTCCTCCGTGCGGGTGACCAACTACCCCGCTATCAAAAATGCGCCCCTTGTCGGCCTCGCAGAAGGCAACGGTGCCTTCAACAACCTCCACTTCGCCGCCTTCATCGTCGTCGTTCCCTACATCCTCAAGTCTTTCCTCCCTCTGGTGAAGTATGGCGGCTTCAAGACCTACCTCTTCATGGTGCTTCTTACGGGCCCACCCACCGCGGTCGCATACTGGGCCCTGAACAGTATTTACGGGTCGAGGAAGAACGAGAAGGTCACGCTCCCTGGCAAAGACATCGAGGAATACATTACGATCAAGGACGCCGAGCTGGCCAAGGTGTACAAGGGCAAGGAGAAGATCCCCATGCAGGTCTTCCACGACGCGTTTTTCGACGGCAAGGTCGAGTTCAAGGGTGCGTGTTGGGTGCGCAGCCTGGGAAGCGCGTTGGGACTGACGTGTCGCGTCACTTCGTAGGCGACGTTCTCGACCTTCTGGAGCAGCGCCACGACTGGGCCAAGATGAACTTCACCTACGAGCTCTTCAAATACGTCTTCACCGTCTTCATTCCAGAGGTCGTCGTCCACTCCCAGGCGCAGGACGAGGAGCAAGTCCGTGGGCACTATGACCGTATGTTCCTCCCTCCACTCCGATTTCACTTCGGTTCTTACACATAGGTTGACGTGTCCAGGCGGTGATGACTTCTACGAATGGTTCCTCGGTCCTCGCATGATCTACACCTCTGGTATTATCCTCAACCCCGACGTGGAAGAGTCTCTTGAGCAGCTCCAGGACAATAAACTTGCCGTCGTCTGCAGCAAACTCGACCTGAAGCCCACAGACAAGTAAGTACTCAGAAGTATTTTCTCCACGAATATCACTTACGTTGGCTGGAGGCTCCTCGACATTGGCTGCGGTTGGGGAACCCTCATCGCCTATGCCGCGAAGAACTTCGGATGCGACGCGACTGGTGTTACTCTCGCAAAGAACCAGGCCAAGTTTGGTACTGAGAGGATTGCAAAGAACGGTGTACGTCCCGGTTCATGCTTCTTCGTCTGTCTGAGAAGTGCAACTGATACCAACCTCTTGACCACCAGATCCCCTCGGACAAGGCTCGCATCCTCTGCTGTGACTACCGCGAAATCCCCACAGGCACCAAGTACGACAAGATCGTCACGCTCGAGATGGCTGAGGTACGCCTTGACTTATTTCGTCAATGGTGTTCTCGTGCTACCAAGCACGTTCGTCCCTTCTAGCACGTTGGTGTCCGCCGCTACTCCCAATTCCTGTCTGAGGTCTACGATCTTTTGGAAGACGACGGCATCCTTGTGTACCAAGTCGCCGGTATCCGTCCCTCGTGGCAATACGAGGATCTCGTTTGGTTGGTCAAATTTCATTTTAGTCCAATGCTCTTGTACTGACACTCCTTCAGGGGTCTCTTCATGAACAAGTACGTCTTCCCTGGTGCGGATGCCTCCTGCTCGCTCGGTTGGGTCGTCAGCAAGGTTTACCATCTCCCCAATAAATGATTACCAGCATTGCTGATTATATACAATTCTAGCTGGAGAATGCCGGCTTTGAGGTTAAGAACATCGATGTCCTCGGTGTTCACTACTCGGCTACTCTCTTCAGGTGGTACAAGAACTGGTTGAGCAACAAGGAGAAGGTCGTCGCGAAGTACGGAGAGAGGTGGTTCCGTGTCTGGGCTTTCTTCCTTGCTTGGGCTACTATCACCAGCCGGTGGGTGTCCTCGTCCTGTGACGTACCACTTGATTTCTGACTGCGGTGCTACAGACAAGGAGGTGCTTCCGTCTTCCAGCTTACTCTTCACAAGAACTTGAACGCCTACCACCGCGTTGCTGGCATCAAGAACCACGCCTCTATCCACGTCAAGTTCGAGAAGGAGCCAATGTGCGTCTTCCCTTCTCTTCTTTGCTTTTCCATTCTCATTGTGCACTTCAGCTTGATCGAGTGAAAAATGACTTTCACGATTTTTTGGGTGATGAATTAAAAATTGATTACTTTATGACCATAACATTATCATTGTGGTACTTTCGATAATGCCCAAATCCATAATACCCTGTCGGATACCTCAAATAGACGCCTTGCTTCAACGCCTTTATAGCATTTCACAGCTCCACTGCCGTCACCTCCGACCCTGCGCGAAAATCGGAGCTCGGATTCCCTAAAATTGCCCGCTTGCGATTAGGCTCGCTACCAGCCGTTTCATTTTCGAACTCCGCAGGCTTCAGTGATGTACTTTCTTTTCACACTCCGCTTGATGTTTGCCCCACAACAAAGAACAAACAAGCAAATCAGAAAAGGAAGGACCACCGAAGGTACTGGTAGCGAGTGATCCGCTTTTATTTGGGCACTGCTCAGAGCCAGTGTGGTCGTGCGACCACTTCCCCTGCCTCTTATATATGCCTTCTACCTCTCCCTTATCCCACCTCTTACCCCCCATAATTCACGTCCTCCTCAGCTCGTAGCTCAACCGCCGTAAAATGCATTTCTCCAAGACCTACACCCAGCTTCTCCTGAGCCTCCCCCCGGAGCTCCGGGACAACGCGATACAGTACCGCCAAGTCCGTCCCTCCTTGCGCTTGATTCCTTGATTAGATTGGGCTTATTAAAATAATTCTTGGTGCCTCACTGTGCTTTGGTTAGTTGAAGAAGGTCATCAACCAGATCGTCAATGAGCTTGAGTCGCTAGGCCTCAAGCCAGAGGTGTTGCACGATCTTATCGAGTCGACGGACGTCAGCGCCTTGTCGGACAATACTCCTGGCCTATCGTCTCCCCCGTCCTCCCATACCAGAGGAGCAGGCCCGTCGAAATCGACCACAGATGCCTCTGAAGCCGATACCTGGAGATCCGACTCCCTTTCGACCTCAACTCATCCGCCAACAATAGGCACCTACTCCCAAAACCTATCAGGCTTCCCCAAGGTCATCTACGAGCTCAACGGAACCGAGAACAAGATCGAACCGCAGCTTCGAATATGGGTCACCGTGCCTGCTCCTGGTGCTGCCCAAGTCCCCAAGGTGAAGGTCACCCAGGATGAGCAGAACGTGGAAAGTCCCGGGACAATATCGCCGTCCGATGTCGGTGTCGGTGCGGAGGAGCAGGAGGAAGAGGATGGGATAGAAGTTTCCTCGGGGTATGCGACGTTATTGTGGTCGTTGCAACACCGAAAGAATGTGGTGCGGACGCCGACACCGACATCGACGCCCGAGGAGGGTGAGGTTGAGGAGGAGCTGCTTTCGCCTGGGGTGTTATATGCTTCAAAGTATGCTTCACATTTTCTTTTCTTCTTGTCCTGGTATATTGACAAATATGCGTCCTTCCTCCCAGTAAACGTTCCACCTCCCCAACGCCCTCATCCACAACCACCTTCTCCTCCCTCTCCTCATCCTCCTCATATTCCCAGGCACCATTTCCTCCTGATACCCAAACCACAACCCAGGAAGTCGTCATCCCACTAGTCCGCGACACCGAATTCTACAGCATTCTTTCCTCTGCGCTCGAGTCCGTTTCCTCTCATCTAACAACTGTTCATGGGGACTTCACCCAGTCGCTGAAGGGGCTCTCGCGCACGATCGCGGACACCTCGCGACCTGCGAGCGTGGCCGCTGGGTTCCACCCGCATTCGAGCGTGTCGACGCATGCAGGAGCGATTAGAGTGAAGACGGGGGACCTGAAGGTGCATATATCCGTTTCCTTTGAATCCATAAGCTTATAACTGATCATTTATCTTCAGCATAGCGACCTCTATTCTTGGCGCGAGATTTTTCAACTCTATGTTGAAGCCGAGGTATTTGAGAGCGTTGGCGAATCCACACGCGGCCAACACACCGTCGAGGAGAGCGAGAAACGCCTACAGCTCTTCGCGGAGCGCGTCACTCAGCGCGGGCTCGGGGACACACGTAAGTTCATGATGAGGCAGAGCGTTGCGGCCCTCGAGACGTTTCTCAACCTGAACCTGTTTATTTTGAATATCAAGAAGGTATTTTGCCGCTCCCTCTTCACCTCTGGAAGGGTTCCCTAAAAATACCACCAATGTAGTTCTCGCATGCAAACTCGGAAGCAACGCGCAAGATCCTCAAGAAACACGCCAAGCGTACCGCACTTCCTCTCCCCGGCCTTCCCTCCTCCGCCACCTCTGCCTTCTCATCAATATCGCACGGCGATCCCATGCATTCCTCCCAACCCCTCCTAGCTCTCGTCGCACATTCCTCCTCAGCCTCCCTCCCCCGGCTACTCGTTCAAGCCATTGGCGAGACCCTCCTCCCCGTCATTCCCTCCGTGGACGACTATTCCTGCCTCATTTGCACAAGTATCGCGTTTAAACCCATACGCTTAAGCTGTGGACACCTCTTCTGCGTGCGCTGTCTCGTCAAGATGCAGAAGAGAGGCAAGGGGAACTGTCCTATGTGCAGAGCGCCGTCGGTGCTGGTGGCCAACCGGACGAATGTGGATTGGGCGTTAATGAACTTTATGCAGGATTGGTTCCCGATGGAGGCTAAGGAAAAGCTGAAGAGCAATGAGAAGGAAGCGGCGATGGAGGAGATGGAGGAGATGGGGATTGACCCTAATCAAAGTTGTAAGGTTATGTGAAAGCTCAGGGATCCCTCATGGAAGTTATTGCATTAAGTATCTGATTGGTTTGCGAGGATTCCATTGCACCTTGTGTGTACTCATCTGTATTGTTATATGTATTTTGCTCTTAATAATTTGACATCACTGGATTTCTGACGACTGCTTTCGTTAGGTCACCTACGCCGCTGGCGCTCAATGCGACGTACGCATAACTGCACAGCTATACACATGTTGCGGCTAATTATGTAATTCCAAGCTTACTTTCACGACTATCTCTTGCCACCGGCCGACTGATCCAACACTGTGACCGAGAAGCAAGAAGCGAGAAGCAACTTCGGACACCGGGGTACGTCTCAACGAAATCCGTCAATCATCTTCGCCGGGCACCTCCAACATCGAAGATGGATTCACAGATACGCGTCATCGTCCTCTGTCATATTACGGCAAACTTCGAAGACTCGTCTAACCCACAGTCGCCATTTATGTAATGTAAATTGCCAAATTGGGAGGGTGCCGCGTGCTTTCTAAGCGTCCATCGGTAGTGGTTCGATTTGCTTAGAATTTTATTAGAAATGTCTAAACTCTCACTTTGATTCCCGGCAGCCTGGGGAAATTAAAACTGGCAACCTCTTTGAGAGAGCCGTCGTCAATCGCAATGGCATACCGCTCGCAGTCTCACTAATCGTGGGTCGGAGGGATCTTTCAACCAGTATAAAAGGACTTCCATGGCGCCTATCGCTCCAGTGTCTCCAATCATCTCTACTATCGATGATCCAGGTTGTGAAACAACTAAGAATAGCTCAGCGTTTGGAAAAACGGCTATAACATTGACTAGTACCTAAGAATAGCTAGGTACAGGATGTAAGCATATGAATAGAAGATCATAAACTAGAAAGCTCACCTCAGCGTTTGGAAAAACGGCTGAGGGAGCGCTAACGAAAACGGCGCGGTATAAATGGGCTCGACTGCCCAGGAGAGCCATGTGAAGATAAAACACAAAAGAGCAGCCGATGCATGATAAGAACGGCAACGAGATAACGTAGAATGTTTATATGTACTCTAGATGTGAAGTAGAGTAGACGGAAGTAAAATGAAAGTGAACATAAAGACAAAATACCTATCTGCAAGCATGAGACGGGCCGTGCTGACACGAGCCGCGTACGTGGAACCTGTGCGCTGCTCGGGCGCGTTTGCCTCTCCAAATCCAACACAGGTGCATCTTTGTCACCGGTGCGACCTCTGGTATCGGTCGCTCACTCGCTCTGGCACTCGCACAGCTCCCAAGCAAACCGACAGTCATTGGAGCTGGCCGTCGCAAGGAGCGCCTAGACGAGCTCGCTAAAGCCGGTCTTGAAGCGTTCTCCTTGGAGCTTGTAGTAGTTTATCATATTTATATCGACGATTTTGAATACTTTCAAATAGCTCGACGCTGTCATCCTGAATGCAGGGATCCAAAACTACTTCAACTTCAAGACCGGAGTGGATTTGTCAGGCACGTTGCATATACCGTGTCTCTGATTGTTAAACCTTCTCATTAACAACATCGTTCTCTCCAGAGGTAACCCACGAACTTGCCGTCAACTACACCTCCATTGTTGCCTTCGCGTCCTTCACCTTGCCTCATTTCCTGAAGCTCTCTGTGCGCTTTCTCGTCGAGCTTCTCTCCGTTTCACCTGATTGAACATATCTGGTACTCACAGGAAGCTGGTTGACCCACATTCTTCATCACGGTGACCTCGGGGCTTGCAATTGTACCTGGACCGTTCTCGCCAAACTATTCTGCTTCCAAGGCCGCCAGTCACACCATTAGAGGTTATTTGCAGTTCTGAGGGCTCCATAAATCCGTGAATCCGATTGGCTTGGGGCCTGCTTCAGCCAATGAGATTTGCGCGATTCTAGGAATATTCGAGGTGCAAATAACCTCTATTACGACCATCTTGCGCGCGCAGCTAAGCGACACCAACGTTCGCGTTATTGAGATCATCCCCCCGTGGGTTCCCCCATTTGATGATTTGCTTACGATTATTCACTTACGTATTCAACACTAGGCTTGTCGAGTCTGAGCTCCATAATGGCGAGTGCAACTCATCTAGCTACACTGTTGACTAATGCATACAAATAAAATGCAGCACATGGGCTGACTATGACGGTCCGTTCTGGACAAAAATACACGATTGAAGTTTTTTTTATGAGAAACCCTAATTTAGGCCAGAGCCTGACCAAATCTGACCAAATCTGCCAGTTTCGTCCCGAGACCGACGCTATCCTCCCGGATCCGCCATCTTCGCACCGTCTCTGCTCGATTCGGCCAGATCGACCCTCCCTTTTCTTATGACCCATCGTTCCGATACGGGAGGAATCTGGGCGCGCGGGACGATTCGGGACGATTCGTACGGATTCCTCCTCAATTCTTTTTTTAAGAAACATCTAGTGATTTTTTCCCCTCGTGTGTGGTCAGATTCGTCCCGAATCCGACCGTTTGGGACCTTGCGATTTTAAAAAAAATTATGGTTTTGGTCGGAATCGGTCGGAATCGGTCAGAATCAGGGCGATGTGTTGCAGATCGGGAGGGGTTTTGATTTTTTTTTTTGAGTGGCGAACGAAGCGGGTCTAATCGGTGTGTTTCCTGCGGATTGGGACCGTATTGGACGGATTCCGCCTGAATCTGACAGATTGGAGAGGGACTTATGAGGAAAAAACGTAAATATGTATTTTTGTCCAGTATGGCGCTGCATAGCTGACGGACATGCTCTCAAATTTCTGGATGCCCCTCGAGGAGTACACCAAACTCACCGTACAGGACCTGCGTGAAGGAAAGGAGGTCATCTGTGCTGGTGTCTCCCAGCAATACTTCAACAAGCACGATACGGGCAAATACCAAATAGTCCTGGAACAGACGAAAGCTTGGGATGTCTAGACTTAGGACTGGAATAGCTACAAGAAAGTGTAAGCAATATTTACAGCCGTTTCTTATCGATAGGCCCCGACCAAGATAGTGGAGTATTTGTTTACGGCGAGGAAACCAAAGGCAAAACTTGGGCAAAACATGCCCATATATGGTGAATTTCGAACCTGTGGGACCTTCTTCACTTCGTTCAGCAAGGTGAAGAGAGACGATGATGCCTTGGTAGACAATAAGAACACGTCTCCTGCAAGTCGGAGCCTGAGGTTGCTCATTTAGAGATCTCAGAGATCTCCAGGTGACGAAGGTGTCAGGGCTATAATGTGACCGGTCGTGTTCCGTGACAGGGATCACGCCTCTTCGACACGACCATCTTGGTCGACAAACCTACTTTCTGAATGGCCAGAGGCTCAGGGTCATTTGGACTGTCCTCAGCGCGTGGACGAGGAAGAGGAAGCTTTCGCGGTGGATTTCGAGGAGGAAGTTCATGGCGCGGTGGACGCGGGAGAGGAAGGGGTGGGGCGAAGACGGGCAGCGCCGCGCCAGTTCGCGAGGACGATGGAACCCAACTAGCCGAGAGGTTCGAAAGGGTCGCACAAGAAGACGAGGTCGACGAGAAACTCGGATTTGGGAGGGCTGATCAAGGAGTGAGGAAGGAGGGGTGGTTGATCAATATGCATCCAGTATGTGTGGTATTGTTGGTTCGGGACGTGCCTAACGCACTTTGCAGACCCTCGTCAAAGATCCAGATTGGCCCTCAGGAAGAGCTGCGGTGGATTACTACTTTATCGAGGATGATGGCTCCATGTTCAAGGCAACGTACCAATACGAACCTTATTTTTTCATCGGGTGCAAGGTATGCTTTCTGCGACGTCATTCTTTCTCATAGGGCCCATATCTCGACAGGCTGGGACAGAGACCATGATTGAAGAATGGCTGAACAAGAAGTACGAAGGTTTAATTTACCGCATTGTGCGAGAGAAGAAGGAAGACCTACGGCAACCGAACCACCTCATGGGCCATCGTCGACTCTATCTCCAGCTATGTTTCCGCAACATTTCAGACCTCTTAACAGTTCGACGCGATGTCGTCCCCCTCGCCCTTGAGAACAGCGCAAAACGAGATGCTGTCGACGCATACGCAGAGGTTATTCGTGCCACTACGGACGCTGCTATGGACATCGAGTTCGAGGACGACGAGGGCGGGATGGGTGGCGGTGGGAGCAGCCGAGCCAAAGTTGCCGGATTGCGAGACACAGACCCTCGAGAGTGCATCATCGACGCCCGCGAATTCGATGTGCCCTTCTACCTTCGCGTGGCAATCGACGTCGAAATCCGAGTCGGACTGTGGTACGCCGTGACCTTCACGGAGGGTCAACCTTCGTTCGCCCTGCTTCCCGAACGTGTCAAGCGTGCCGACCCTGTGGTTATGGCCTACGATATCGAAACCACCAAGGCACCTCTCAAGTTTCCTGACCAAGCAATTGACCAGGTCATGATGATTTCATACATGGTAGATGGGCAAGGTTACTTAATCACCAACCGGGAGATCGTCAGCGAAGATATCGAGGACTTCGAGTATACACCGAAGGAAGGTTATGAAGGTCCTTTCATTATCTTCAACGAACCGGACGAGGTATGTTCATCCTTCATTTTCGCTCCGACCGTTTTGACCTGGGGTAGGCCGCCACGATAAAACGCTTCTTCTCGCATATCCAAGAGGTCAAGCCAACAGTCATGGCGACATTCAACGGTGATTTCTTTGATTTCCCATTCCTTGATGCCCGCGCGAAGGCCAACGGCATAGACATGTTCTTGGAGACTGGGTTTACCAAAGACTCAGAGGACGAGTACAAGAGCAGGTGCTGCGTCCATATGGACTGTTTCCGCTGGGTAAAACGCGATTCCTACCTCCCTCAAGGTAGTCAAGGCTTGAAAGCTGTAACGACCGCGAAACTCGGTTACAACCCCATTGAACTCGATCCAGAGCTGATGACGCCGTATGTGAAATCTCTTGGTCGTGTTCAGAGTGCTGATTTGGTGCAATAGGTATGCCATGGAACAGCCCCAGGTCCTAGCTCAGTACTCCGTTTCCGATGCTGTGGCAACTTATTATCTGTACATGAAATATGTGCATCCATTCATTTTCTCGTTGTGCAACATCATACCTCTCAAACCGGACGAAGTACTGCGGAAAGGAACCGGTACCTTGTGTGAGACCCTTCTCATGGTATGCTGTCGGCTCCTGCCGTCTGTACGTGTGATTGTTGACTACCTCTGAATGTAGGTTGAGGCATATCGCGCACATATCATCATGCCGAATAGGCACGAAGAGACTCATGGAAATATGTACAATGGGCACCTACTTGCTTCAGAAACATACGTCGGAGGTCACGTCGAGGCTTTGGAAGCTGGTGTATTTAGGAGCGACATCCCTACGGATTTCAAGATTGTCCCCTCTGCAGTCCAACAGGTAGCTAAGTTTTGCCTGAAAGTAATACAAATTCTAATGAGCGTGCCTTTTTATTTTTATTTTATAGCTCATCAACGATCTTGACGCTGCTCTCAAGTTTTGCATCACAGAAGAATCGAAGTGCTCCCTTGAACTCGTGACAAATTATGACGAAGTCAAGGCCGAAATCACCGCTGCCCTCGAAGTCATGCGCGACAACCCAAAACGCGTTGACAAGCCGTTGATTTACCATCTAGATGTGGCTGCTATGTACCCCAACATCATGCTATCCAATCGCCTGCAGCCCGACTCGATGGTTGACGAATCCGTGTGCGCCGTATGCGATTACAACCGTCCCGGAAAGACCTGCGATCGTCGACTGGAATGGGCGTGGAGAGGGGAGTTCTTCCCTGCGCACCGTGACGAGTTCAACATGATTAAGCACGCGTTAAACCAGGAAATGTTTCCCTCTAAGCGTCCTGGTGGCCCGCAAAGGAAGTTTGCAGACCTCAGTGAGGCCGAACAGACCGCTCTTTTGCACAAACGTCTCGGCGACTATTCGCGCAAGGTATACAAGAAGAGCAAGGATACCAAGGTCGAAAATAGGGAGTCCATCGTATGCCAGAAGGAAAACCCTTTCTACGTCGATACCGTGCGGAGGTTCAGAGATCGCCGTTACGAATACAAGGGCCTTCTCAAGACGTGGAAGAAGAATCTCGACACCGTAGTGAGTGAAGGCCGGAGCATCGGGGAAGTCGACGAGGCGAAAAAGATGATCGTGCTGTACGACTCGCTACAACTCGCTCACAAATGTATCCTCAACACCTTCTACGGATACGTGATGCGTAAAGGTGCCCGATGGCACTCCCTGGAGATGGCTGGCATAACATGCTTGACTGGTGCTACAATTATCCAAATGGCGCGAGCTCTGGTCGAACAGATCGGACGCCCGCTGGAGCTGGACACGGACGGTATATGGTGCATGCTTCCCGGCGTATTCCCAGAAAACTTCAAATTCAAGCTCAGCAACGGCAAATCCATCGGCTTCTCATATCCTTGCACCATGCTGAATCACCTCGTTCACGCCCAATTCACCAACCATCAGTACCACGACCTTGACCCCAATACAGGAGAATACATTGTCCACAGCGAGAACTCCATCTTCTTCGAGCTGGATGGCCCTTACAAGGCGATGATCCTTCCATCGTCGAAGGAGGAGGACAAGCTTTTGAAGAAAAGATATGCGGTTTTCAATGACGACGGGTCTCTTGCAGAATTGAAGGGTTTCGAGGTCAAGCGTCGTGGCGAATTGCAGTTGATCAAGATTTTCCAGTCCCAGATTTTCGAGAAGTTCCTCCTCGGCACCACCCTCACTGAATGTTACGCTGCTGTCGCCCACGTCGCGGACCAATGGCTCGACATCCTATTCAGCAAGGCAGAGACATTGAGCGACGAAGAGCTAGTTGACCTCATTGCCGAGAACAGAAGCATGTCGAAGACTCTGGCAGAGTACGGAGGTCAGAAGTCGACCTCAATCAGCACCGCAAAGCGTTTGGCAGAGTTCTTGGGTGACCAGATGGTCAAGGACAAGGGTTTGGCGTGCAAGTTCATCATCTCAGTGAAGCCCATGGGAGCACCTGTAACTGAACGTGCCGTTCCTGTCGCCATCTTCTCTGCTGAAGAGACTGTTAAGAGGACATATCTTCGCCGATGGTTGAAGGACAGCAGTCTCGTCAACTTCGACCTGCGCTCCATCTTGGACTGGGAGTACTACATTGAGCGTCTCGGGTCGGTCATCCAGAAGCTGATCACGATCCCGGCTGCGATGCAGAAGGTCTCTAACCCCGTCCCTCGAATTCGCCATCCAGATTGGCTGCACCGGCGCGTGGCAGGCGCCGTCGATAAGTTCAAGCAGAACAAAGTAACGGACTTCTTCAAGGCCAAGGATGATGCGGGCAAGGAAGAGACCCAGCCTATGGATATCGAAGATATTGGGTCCGCATCGACAAATGCTCTCCGCAAGCGTTTGACCGTCAGCGAACCGACGTTTATTCGCGAGCAGACACCGGAGATCGAAGACAACGATAACGCGCCCTTGCCAGATCCATCTGTCAATTATTCCGCGTGGATTCGAGCCATGCGTCCTCGCTGGAAGAAGAAGCATGCAGCACGCTGGGGTGGCGGGAATTCATCAACCGTTGTTCCTTCTATGTTCAAGTCAGCTCGAGTAAGAACAAATCATCGCTGGGACATCGTTCAAATGCGAGAAAGCAAGACCCCTGGCCGGTTCATCCTTTGGTTATCCATCGACACGGAGCTGGTTCCCGTTCCTCTCCGCATACCCCGAGAGTTTTACATCCACCTCAAGAAGCCTGTTGAGAACATTTTCCGCCCCGAGTACTATTCGTGCACGAAGGTTACACGGAATCTGCCCCGAGACGCGCCTTGTACGAATCTCTACAAGATCGTCGTAAAGGAGGAAGTGTATCAGGATATTCAGGAGCACTTCATCGACATCACCAATGATCCTAACGTCGACGGCGTGTATGAACTCCAGGTCAGCCCTTTCTCCCTTATTATAAGTCTGTTTTCTCATCAAGCAACCAGGTTCCCCTCGTCTTGCGAGGACTCATGCGACTTGGCAAAACCTGCGCACTGGAAGATACGACGCTCACATTGAACAGGGCTCGGCAAGTCGGTTTCGACCTTAATCAGCTCGATCGGTGTACCACGTCGTCCTCTCATCAACCTTACCTTAAGGGTGGAAAAGCTGGAAAATATCTCTTCCTGTACCATGCCTCAGCAGCGAACGGCAACCTGCACGTGTATGCCCTCTTCCTCCCCAATGGCATTGCGAAGCTATTTCTGGTGGATCCGGCGAATCGTCGGCAACCAATTGCACGCCTGCCAGATCAGTACACCACCCTCCTTCAGAAGAAACATCAGGCGTATGGACCCAACACCTCCGTGGACTATCCCACATCTGTAGAATTCTCGCATACATACCACTCATCGGAAGTTACGGCCCTCAAGGCCATTTCTCGAGAGCTGGGGCTCTTGGAAGAGAGGTCCTTTACGGTCGTCATATCCTCGAGCAAGGATGTGTCATATTTCGAGCGTCTAGCGCCAAAGTTAGCTAAATTTCCCATTCTTGCGATGTCGCAGGCCAAAGGTCCACACTCTCTCGACGTCTTCCCTTGGCAGTCTCACGTGGGCCAGAAGATGCTGAATCGTTATATCTCCCTTGCAACATGGATCGACCGGGTCACCGCCCTGGCTGATTACTACGATGTGCCAATTGGGCACATCGAGGGAGACCAGCCCCTCCTGCTCGCCGACATCAGCTTCTCGCGGAGACTCGTCCAGCAAGATATGGTTCTCTGGTGGTCCCCAGGTGATTGGCCAGACCTTGGCGGGATCGAGAACGACAGAAGGCAGACGGAGCCTTTCCCCAAGACGGACTTCCAGTCTTCTGGTGTCTTTTCGAATGTCTGCTTGGAGATTACGGTGCGCAACTTGGCTGTCAACTCCGTTTTGCAGTCGGTCCTGGTCAACGAATTGGAGGGCAGTGGAGGTGCGACGGCGTTTGATTCGGTATCACATACGATCAACGAGTACTCGAACGGAGAGACTCAACGCGATTTAACACTGGGGGAGGCTCAGATATCTGCGCAGACGTTCGGAATCTTGAAGGGCATGGTGAAGACATGGCTGCTGGATAAGATTCAAGATGGAGCGGAGAGTCCGGCTACACTAGCCATCGACCATTTCTGGCGTTGGGTTAGCTCAAGGGCGTCGCAGCTCTACGACCCCAGCATCCATCGGTTCATCCACGGGCTCATGCGCAAGACGTTTATTCAACTCCTGGCCGAATTCAAGCGACTTGGCTCACACGTTGTTCATGCCGATTTCAGCTCCATCTTGCTGTCGACGTCCAAGCCACCCGGGACGGCACATGCCTACGCAACATACATCACGACGGCAGTAACGAGCCACGAATTGTTCCAGCATATCTACTTGCATACGGAACGCTTCTACGATTTCCTCGTGTTCATGGATTCTGCCAACATGGGCGGGATTGTGTGCGAGGATCCTTTGGCAGTCGGACCTCCCGAGGAGCTGTGTATGGAGATGAGGTGGAACATCCAGCAATTCCTGCCGTCGGAGATCCAGAAAGACTTCGAGACCGTCATCCAATATTATATCGCAGAACTGTTCAAGATTCGACGGGATGCCAATGCAGCGTCTAGGGTACCTTTACGACCGCTGCAGAACGGAGAGGGCCCAGACTCTACCCAACGAGACGAGTCCAAGGTGAAAGAGAAGGACAAAACATTGGAGTTCATCGCCAGGAAGTTGACGAGGAAGATGCTCAGGACGGTCGAAAGCATCCAAGACAGGTATCACTCCTATCTCACGAACGAGAAGTCTCCTCTGGACTTCGAGTTCCCTGTTCTTCCTGGGTCGTATCTGCATCTCAGCAACCCTACACTCGAGTTCATCAAGTTCGCGTGTATAGTGTTCTCACTGTTGAAGGAGTATCAAGTCGAGATGGGAATCATGAAGCGGAACCTGCTCGAGCTCATCAACATCCGAGAGTTTGCTGGCGAGGCGACGTTCCGCAACCCCTGCGAGCCGCTCAAGCTTTCCAACGTGCCATGCAGACATTGTGACCTTTTGCGTGACTTCGACTTCTGCCGCGACCCAGAGCTGCTTCCAAACAACATCGACGTAAACCCCAAGTGGCTATGCACGAATTGCGGCGGCGAATACGACCGTGTCGCCATCGAGTTCGAGCTCATCGACATGACACGAAATCTGGAGCGAGTCTTCGCTCAGCAAGACCTGAGGTGCTCCAAGTGCCAGCAGATCCAGTCGGACAACGTCTCGCGGTATTGCAAGTGCTCGGGGTCGTATCAATTCACGATGAACAAGGCTGACATGCGGAGGAAGCTGCGGACAATCGTGAACGTGGCCAGGGAGTATAATCTGCCACGACTAAAAGTAAGTTGTATGCCTACTATCTCCAAGCCGAATGTTGACAAAATTTGCAGGAATGCGCCCAGTCTGTGCTTGCAAGTTGGTAATGATTCCGTTTTATACTATTGCTGTCGCTGTCATGTATACCCGTGTATCGCATACCCAAGAATGTATAAGAAGTCTAGAAGAAGGACATAGTTGGACGGATTGATTCATG